AGTTTTCTTCTTTGTTCAATCATAATTCTGCTAACCAATTTACTCCATCAGATACAGAAACAAAACACGTAAAGCAATAAAACTAACTTAAATGGCTTAAACTGTACGAGAAAGTAACAAATGATTGAATCTGAACAGTCTAAAAATCCTTTCTTGTCATAAATTCATAATTCCGTAGCTAAAAAAAAGAAGCACAATAAAGACCCGTAAATAAATTACCGGGCGGCCGGGTCTTGCTTGAACATGTTGAGGGGTGGCTTGTTCCGAGCGAGGGCGGCGTCGATGAGCCCCAGCCGGCAGTGCTTAGAGTCGGCGTAGGAGTCTCTGGCGTGAGGCGGCAGCTCGTGGCCGGTCTCCACGCACTTGAGCCGGCCATTCTCCAGCTGCTCGAAAGTCGGTGCGCCGAGTAAATTGTGTCCTTCCTTCAGCTCGCTCGGGTTAGGGCTTTCTTCGCCTCTCTTCTTCCCCATGGCGCTAAACACTGAAAAAAATCTGTTTTAGGGCTGCTCAGCAATTTTACGAAGACAAACAAACCTTTTTTTTTTATCTTTTTCCTTCCCTTTTAACCATAGTGCGACTTTATGTGTTAGAACCACGATTTTTTACCTTCAAAATAACACTTGTGAAAGCTCGCATTTTGCTTGTTTTATATTTAAATGAGTCGCTCGAAATTTAATAGAGTTTGTTTATTAAACGAGCTAAATGATTTTGATTGCAAGAGACTCAATTTATTTTTATATATTTTATATGTTTCAGACCCCAGTAAGATATTGTCCGCTTTGGGCTACTTCCGCCACCCGCATGACTTTGTTCTTGGCTGGGCTTCAATACACACCCACCAAAACGCGTCTTACTAGTGAAGGTATCCACATTCTCATATAAGGCCTGCTTCGTTTCCTTTCAAACCAGATATGGGATGCGCTGCATCATCCACCCCCCTTGTGGGCCCAGCGGTCACCGCTGGCACATGGGCTGACTCTGATACCAACTGATGTAGAGCGTGTATATGAACGGGAAGAACACGATAAAACACGAACAGATTTTTATTTAATTCATCAATAATCTGCTCTTCACTTTGCAGAAGAGGTTACATAAAGGAAAGAGTCCTATATTCCTCCTCAACCTAAAATAAAACCTTACTAATTATTTTAACTCCAATACTCAAAATAAGATGCAAAATAAAAGACTAATAATGACAAAATAAATAAACTAGACCCGAAGACGATCATATTTATTTAGGAACGCTATCGCGGTCTCGTCTCCATCAAATAGTCTTAACCGAACTTAATCACGAACAACTCGCTTAAATTTTAATCTTATTAGACGAGCCAAATTGAACTCGAACCGAATCGAGTCAGCTT